GTTGTATAGGAAATGGGTGAGATTTGGAGTATTATATTAGTGGAGAGTTAGTGGATTTCTTAGGATATATTGGGTGGCTAGTGGAGTGACTTACGTGATTGGGGAGGGATTTTAGAGTATTAGTTTTGGAGTTTTGTTCAAACTGAACAGATTACTCTAAACGGTACGCGCTTTTTCTCACCCAAACTGCTCCGAATTGAAAACGAATTGCATTTTTAGAATCAGACTGTCAAAACTAGAATTCTGACATAATCAAAATATTTTTCTGAGAACTTTTATTTTTCTCAGTGTTCAGGTCTTTCTCTGTCCTAAATTAATTTAATAATATGAATGAGATAAAAATATATGAATTAAATCCAAATGATAAATATGGTGTTGTCAAGTGTCAAAATTATGACTTCTAATCTTATGAAATCACTTTTGAATCGAGTTTATTTTATGGGTCAAAGTTACAAATTTTAATATTTAAAATCGTCATAGTTTGAAATCTATAAATCAGGTTGGTTCATAAAATGTACCGTTGGATTCGTCTCTTCGAGACATATCCATAAAAATTAAGTTTTTAACAAAAAGTCATTATTTTGAAATCCCTTTATTTTTTTGGTCAAACGTCTAAATATTCTTCATTGGCCAAAGTGATATTCAAATTTACTTTTGTTTTATAATAAATTTTAGGCCATATTTTGTGGCGTTACATAGTGTGTGTTGGATGTTTGACTTAGTCTCATAGTCAATGACAGTGTGTTCGCATCCGCACATGGGCAGATATTATCTAGAGATAATAGGATGCCGGACTGACCCATCTTAAAGATGTTGCTTGAATTTTTAGTTCATGCTCTAAATAATATCTTTAGCGCGACCACGGGTGTAACTATCCTTCGACTTGAAGTATTACGTTTTATGCATATGTGAACCCGCATACTTTGATGCATTGTCCTAAGCCATATGAAATAAGGATGGTATACAGGCTTTGTTTTGGATATGCCGCAGCGCATATTCAGAAACGTAGATTACGTACATAGGATTTGTCACTACTCTTTTTAAGAGATTAATGTCTTATGGGGCTCACTGATAAGTTATGATTGAGGAAATTACATGGTCATGCTGAGATGTTTTTATGACGTCTGTTCCTATCAGTGAGACTTGATAAATCAGTGAATGACTTAATGGATACAAGTTGAATTTTATTAATCCCTTGCATTAAGTTTAGACATTGAGACAAAGGGATACAGTTACACGGAGTCTGAGTCGTGGAAAGGTTTTGACGGTGCAAACGTCTTAACTTATAATCTGGGGGCAATAATGTGTTGCTAGATACCGCTTATTGCTTATAGTATTGATGCAGAGCCAATACTGTGGCCAGCTTTATAAGTGCCTATACGGGTCACACACTTTGGACAATTTAAGGAGTATGATTAAACAATGGGATAATAAGTAATTTGTATATTTGTAAAAATAGTAAAATAAAATATTTTGGAATATAATATTATATATATATAAATATTCGGTTATATATATATATCATATATATGTGCCGATTAATATATATATTATATATTGAATATTTTATTTTGGTTTGTCATTTTAATTATGAAAATAATTAATTTGACTTAAACTATTTAAAGTATATTTGTATACTTGTTTAAAATGATATTGGTATTTTTATTTGATTTAAAAATTAATTTTATATTAATTTTTGGTGTCAAATAAAATACACTTTGAACATTTAAGTGGAGAAGAATTTTGAAAATCCTTCTCACAATCACAATCATATTTCTTTCGGCCATGTGATGTCAATGGGGACAAAATTGTTTTGACTTTGCATTTTAAAGATGTAGGAAATTTCCTAATTTGTCATTAAGTGTATGATTGGTTTTTAAAATCCTCTTTAAATAATTATACACTATGTTCATTGTTAAGGAGTGAAGGTGATTCGGCCATACTATTTTCAAGAGAGAAAATTATTAGTTTGGTTCCATTAATATCATTTTGTGTATAGAAAATATTTATAATATTTTCTAAATATTATTAGAAATATTTTCTATTGAAATATACAAGATTATTATTATCCCAATTTTAATCTTTATATTTTATACTACTATAATCTTTACTAGCATAAAGATTGTGGTAGACTCCGGCGTTGTTCGTGTGTCAAAGTTGGAGACCGGACGCTTGAACGGTTACGTTTGCACTTTCAACGCTCTTCCTACGACNTGGTGTCAAATAAAATACACTTTGAACATTTAAGTGGAGAAGAATTTTGAAAATCCTTCTCACAATCACAATCATATTTCTTTCGGCCATGTGATGTTAATGGGGACAAAATTGTTTTGACTTTGCATTTTAAAGATGTAGGAAATTTCCTAATTTGTCATTAAGTGTATGATTGGTTTTTAAAATCCTCTTTAAATAATTATACACTATGTTCATTGTTAAGGAGTGAAGGTGATTCGGCCATACTATTTTCAAGAGAGAAAATTATTAGTTTGGTTCCATTAATATCATTTTGTGTATAGAAAATATTTATAATATTTTCTAAATATTATTAGAAATATTTTCTATTGAAATATACAAGATTATTATTATCCCAATTTTAATCTTTATATTTTATACTACTATAATCTTTACTAGCATAAAGATTGTGGTAGACTCCGGCGTTGTTCGTGTGTCAAAGTTGGAGACCGGACGCTTGAACGGTTACGTTTGCACTTTCAACACTCTTCCTACGACCTCTTCGTTTTTACCGCTTACAGAGAAAAGTATAAATTTCTTACTCACTATAAGTTTTAGTACGTGATTCTGGGCAAGATAATCATGTTAGGATGTTAAAAATTTTTATATTACGCTGTCTATCCTTGCATGGTTACCTTTCATATATACACATGTAATCTCCCATAATAATTCATTTGGAAATTATTCATTCTACAACTATAGGTGTGCACTCATATTTTGTGTCGGTATAATACTAGAGTTATAATTCACACAGACACAAAATATTAGTTTAAATGTTTGTATTGAATAGGCACGAAAGTGGGCAACCATCGGGATTCCTGAATTTCCTGCACAATATTTCCTCTCATATAAATGGCGGGAGCGTCACCTTCCGGCTTCGACGAGAGTTTGCTCCCCTTCCATGAGTTCCATTATTATTCAAACTGAACTCCCACACACATTATTCGCACAGTTTGACTTCACTCCTCTCTCTCTCTCTCTTCCAATTTCAATCGGGAACGTCTAAGGGTTTAGAATCTAGGGTTTCTGAAAAATTGAAGTCCAGGCCAAAGCGCCGATTCAATCGCCAATGGAGGCCGCGGCTGGTGTTGCCACCGCACGCAATGTTTCTACCCCCGTTTCCTCCCCTCAGCCTTCTCGCAAGGAGTGGCGTGTAGTCTCCGACCATTCTGTGCGTTTTCCCCCGAATTATCTGCCGCATTGTCTTTCTTCGTGATCTGCTTTGATTTACATTTTCTGTATAATTTTCTATCATTGTGTTCGGTACGTGTATCTGCAGGAACGTTCGGATAAGGAGCGCTCCAAGTTTGGGCAGTCCGATGAGAGATTGATATACGAGGTATGAAGCTAACTTTTCTTTTAGCATTTCTTAATACATTTTTTTTCTCTTCTAGGGTTTTATCTCTGAGGCTCTATCTTGACGGGGGAAGATAATCTGTGTGTTCATAAAAGGTGCAGCAAGGGAGAAATCCATCTGATGTGGGCTTTTGTTCCCTTATTCTTGATGGTGGACCGGATAATGATCTTCTGCAGCAGAGACTTCATACTGTGGTGAACCAAAGAGAGGAGTTGCAAAGGATGGAGACTGAGCTTCAGGCTCAGCTCATTGCGAAAACTGAGATGTTGGAGATGAGAAATACCTTTGACGCTCAAGTCAAAGAACAAGCAAACACCAATGCGAAGCTTCAGGTATTTGCAAAAGCATACATATATTCTTACTCTCAATGTACCACATAGTATTAATGCATGTAGGTACCTGTGTTTTGTTTCCGTGAGCATGCAACTAATGTTTTTTTTTGTTTTGATTACTTTAAATGGCTGTGAAGGAGCAACTGCAAGAAAGGGGAGAAACGATATATGAGCTGGAAAGAAGACTTGAAGAGAAGGAAAGGGAGTTGCATGCGATAAGATTGGACAATGAGGCGGTTGGTTTGATTGTTTTACTATACTGAATTTGGCGTGTAGCATTCTATTTTTATCAAGTATTCTTTATATTTTATTGAATCTCATGCTTCTCGTTTATTTTAGCAGGCTTGGGCAAAAGAGGACCTATTTAGAGAACAAAGCAAAGAACTGCAAACTTACATGTAAAAGTTTGTGTTTTAGCTATATGCACGGTAGCCATTATAATGTTTTCTTTAATGATGCAAGCATAAAGGGCGCCTGATTAGTATTTCATCACTTATGTACATGGATTTTTTGTTAGTTAGAATGTAAAAACTTTTCAGACTTTGATGGATTTGGAATAAGTTTTTTTTCCTGTAGCATGTAGTTACTGCATTAATCTCCAAAATCATTTCAATCGGTCGTTGCCTAGTGTGATGGTGATATGACCTAATTGAAGCCCGTGATTGTATAGGAGAGAAAGAGACAACTCTGAAGCTGAAAGAGCTCAGTACATAAAACAGATTCACGATTTTCAGGAACATATTCAAGAGAAAGAAAGGCAGTTCTTGGAATTACAGGAACAAGTTAGTTTCTTTCTCCTCAATTTAAGATGAATTTCCATCAGTTTACAGTATGTAATGTTGTCACCTTTTTTAAGAGCTATATGTCTAGAATGCTATGGCTACTGTATTTCTTTAATTTGTGTTATCATGTAGCATCTTGCTAGTTGCTAAAATGTGGAATTTATCTCAGGCTGACCATTTTCATCTTCGTCAATTTTCAGAACAGACTTACTCAGGAAAACATTGTTTACAGAGATGAACAAATGAGGGAGGCTCAGGCTTGGATGAGCCGATTTCAGGAAATTGAGGCATTGCAGCAAGCTGAACTACGTGAACGAACAGAACAGTGTAACCAGCTGTGGCTTGGTTGCCAGAGACAGGTTTTTGCATCAACATGCTTTTATAACTTTTTTCTTTTTGAACATTCTCTTGCTGGTTCTCTTTAGAGGTTATGTTTGGTGATTGTTATTGGTATGTGATTTGTTATTGTCTATGTGTATTAATATATTTAATGTTATTAGGAATATGGTACTGTTTCAGTATCAAATAATAACAATTGTTTTAAATTTTAGGCTGCTGAGATGGAGCGCCTACATTTGCATATACAACAGCTCCAGGCAGAATTGACAGAGGCTAAAGAAAGGAATAACACTATCTCTGATGGCTCTCAAGTGTCCAAATCAAGCTCTAAAGATACTGCTCAGATTGGAAAGAGAAGTAGTGGCCTACTTCTCGATAGTGGAAAGGATGTTCCTGGTGTAAAATCTGGCCACTCATCCAATGGACATGATGAAAGTGATTCTTCATTATCTGCAATGAATGCATCAACACAGGTCAAACTTTCTCTTTCTATTATTTGTAGTTCATGGATTCCGGATTTCTTTGAGAAGTATTTATTGTAATATATTTTTTTTAATAATACCAGAATGATCATCTCCATGGTCTTTCACTTGCTCCTTCATCTTTACTTGGGATGCCAACCTATATCTCTCCAGGACAGATTACTGCTTTACACCCCTTTTTAATGCACCAACAGGGTATTCCTCCTGTTCCTCAGTCTCATGTTGTGCATTTCCACTCTCTACCTGGATCTGCTATGCCATCAGTTCAACATTGGCCTAACCAACAGGTAGTTTCAGATTAATATTTTTGGTATCAGTTCTAGGATCTATCTGTATAGTTGTCTGTTAAGCATACTTTGTTTCTGTTCAAGGTTGCACCTGATGGTTCTGAGTTGTCTTCCCACAATCAATCTTCTCTCCAAACTGATTCAACCTTGTTGAGATCCAATTCTAGCTATCAGTATGAAACTTCTGTCAACGGGAATGGTTTTCATTCAGAGCATCCGGATGCCAATATTATCCACGAGATTGAATCACCAGATTCTGTAGCTCATTCAAATGAAGGGGAGCAGAAAGTAAGGAAATCATTATCGCAGTTTTTGGAAGTAGTGTATATTTTGTTACGTAGTACATAACTATCTTTTCCGTCTTAAATCTGAACAACTTCTTCAATCTGTTGGTGAAAACTTCCTTCCTGGTCCCCAAAATCAGCAGACCTTGCAATATATCTCCTCTCAGATTCATAATGGGCTAAGGTTGGATCCTAATGAACAAAAGAATGAGTTTCAGGTATTCTCTTTTAAATAAAGAACCTGAAAATTTTCAGTTTTTGTAGGATTTTTGGATCCTGTTGCTACCTATGTTCTATGTACCATTTTTTAAATACCCTTTGTGACTTATATGTAGGTGGATGGTGTAAACTCTTCATCAATTCCAGGGATCGAATCCCAAGGATCGATGATAGGGGAAATTACTTCTCCTGCTGAGTATTCACCTTTGAACATTCTAGAGCAGGCGAGCAACTCAAACGAGAAAGTAACAAACTCCAGCGCTAATACTACTTTACCCGAATCCATGGTTTCTATGGGCCAGAAAAATGCATATCCTGTTAACCCTGCTGAACCTATATTACTTGATGAACAATCATTACTAGCCTGCATAGTTCGCACCATTCCACCTGGTTCTAGTGGTCAAATTAGGATAAGTACAACGGTTAGTTACAATGAGTGATTTTTCTGTTTGGGTATGTTTTGGCATTATATTTTTCACTGCAAAAATGATTCAGTAATAAGTATTTGTCTCTGTAATTTACAGCTTCCAAATAGGCTAGCAAAAATGCTTGCACCCCTGCACTGGCATGATTACAAGAAAAAGTATGGGAAACTTGATGACTTTGTAGCAAGTCATCCTGAAGTATGTGTATCCTCATTTGTACTTGTGCCAAATTCTAATAATTTGCTCTTAGTACTAATTTAGGTTTTCATATTCAGTTGTTTGTGGTTGATGATGACTATATTCAACTTCGAGAAGGAGCTCAAGAGATCATAGCAGCCACTGCAGCTGTGGCTAAAGTTGCTGCAGCAACTGCAGTCCCATCATTATATCCGTCGCGTTTACATTCTGTTGCTGTTACTCCCATGGCTCAATCTCACAGGTTGAAGAAGAATGCAGATGCCATTTCTCAGTCTGTGGCAATGCAAAGTCAGCATTCCAATAGTTCTTGCAGTGTGGGTGAGGGCATCACAAATGTGAAAAATTTGGCTAAACCCAGAGGTCCAGTGGAGCTCAATGCATCCGAAACTCATCCTGCACAGCTCCCAGTGGGTAATGGAATCCACCCTCAGAAAAATGATTTAGCCACTTCTCAAATAATGGGATCATCTCATGGGAGAGGCAATGTGAATGTACATGGTAAACATCGTGGCAGGTATTGGAAAGCTCTTATATCTACTAGTAGTCTAGTATATATTTGTTGTTTTATGAGATGTTATATTTGGAAGTCATTGATTAAAATCTAAGGCAAATTCCATTTTTTCAGGATTACCGTGCTTCCATCCAACTCAAGAAGATAGTAAGTACACTCTTTTGTTGTAATATGCTCACTTGTGGTTAGAGTGTCAGACTTAACCATCTGCATAATTCCTCTTATACTCCCTCCGTCCCAAATTGTTTGCAACATTTCGAAGGACGTGCAAAATATCATCTCTTTTAGAATCATTTTATTTATAAACTGGTAAAAAATGAAAAGTAAAAATTACACCGTTTAATAGTACATCAAAATTTTTACAAAACAAGATGCAACAAAAATATTTTATTTTATCAAATGGTCAACCAAAATGAGTAAACAAACAAATAGTAACTGTGACATTCTTTTTGGGACAAAGGGAGTATAATACAGTTTAACTATGTAAAAATTCAATGTCTCACTCAAAGAGTACATTAACAACCAATCCTTTAAACCCAAAATTCAATGTCTCACACCCTTCATAGACCCTACTTTTTGTGGGATTTCTCTGGGTTGTTGCTACAAAAACCAACAATCTCTTGAGGCCCTTCACTAGAATTTTCTTTCTCATACTCATTTTTGCTATGTACTATATGTTCTCTAAGTCGTAATGCATTAGTCTCTTTTTACACATTCAATCCATATCATTTTTGGTATAATGCGGATCTTCTTCCACTCTTAAATTTTCAAGACTCAACCCTCTTTATTGGGAAGCTTGCTTCTCAACAGCTGAGGTGCCCAAATCAACCTAACCAACTTTTCATTAATCTTCAAATGTTGTTACTTCAAACACCTCTTTGAATCTTCTTGTTGCATTCTATTAATTCAAAATCATGCCACACCAATTCAGCACAAACATCTTCATCATGCTCATCTTCATTATTAAATACACTCGTTTACAAAAACAGTTTCTATTTTGACTTTTGCAGATTTATTTTTGTAATTTGACTTTCGAGTTATCCTTATTCTCGTAGAAAAAAAGTGATACAAATCTCTTAAATAACTTATTATATCAATGTTAAATGGATATGGTATATTGCAATGACTTTATTTGGATATAATACTCATTTTTGCAAAAGTGTTTTGAAGTAAATGAAAAAAATGAAAGAGGAATTGTATTAAAAAATAGAGGGAGTACTTCTTGGCAACACAAATTTTAATTCATATAGTTGTATACTACTGCAGATTTAAGATTCGAGTAGTCGGGTAGATGTGTGTGCATTTGTTTGTAGTTTTTTTTGGTGTGTTTTTATTCCCTAATTCTATATCGTGTGATTTTTTGTTTTTTAGGCCTTGTGCTTAATGCCTAGTTCTTAGAGCCGACTTGTATGCTTCTTTTGTCTTTATTCATACTTCAGTGGCTTCTTTGTTCTACTTCTGTATCTGAGGGTCTCTTGAAAACCTCTCTACTTCATAGTATGGGTAAGGTTTGCGTACATACACTCTTCCCATACCCTACTCTCGTGTGATATTATGGGTTTGTTGTATAGTTGTATACTCCATTTGTCCCATAATTAACTTCATATTTTTTCCTTTTATATTTTGTCCCAAAATAAGCTTTACACTTGATTCCTTTTTTAGGAAATGAGTAACATTTCTCCCCTTTTTTTCTAAAAAAGGTTCAACAACACTGTTTATTTCAAATCCTCTTTTATGGCACATTTTTTAGTCAATATTTCTATCATATACCAATTGTTTCTAAGTGCATGAGAGTAGTAAAATGACTCAACTTTGGTGTTTCTCTAGTTTTCATGTTTCTTCCTCGGCTCCATGTATCAGACTTGGCATTTTTCCTTTGCTTTATCAACAACCTCAAAAACATGAAACACAACATCTCCCCTTGAATAGTCCTAGACAACTCATCTTGAAACAGCTGCAATATCCCTACGTAATAAGTTAGCTTTGTATGCTCTAATACTAGTCTTTTTGTGCATGTGTTGAGGGTTAGTCTAATTGATGTTTCTGTATGAAAAACACCTGCTCTTTTAAGTGATTGCATTGTAAGTCTCTTTCTGTATCAGTCATAAACTCCAATGCTGTTTTGGTGGGCAGGGCACAGATAGCAGCGTGAGATTGTATGAGCTGGGATTGAAATCAACAATGGTTGCGATTGGATTATCTCTTATAAAGTTCCGTTTTGCTGAAATGCTGCAACTTGTTTATGTTGTGTCCTTTTCGACCAGCGTGTATTTAACTAATTAATTAATTAATTAATTAATTCAAGGTGGTGTTTATGGGAAGAGAATCCTTTGGAATTTTAGTGATTATTAGTATTACTTTTTGGATTGATCCAAGATTATTGATTCACCCTTTCCTAATGTTATATCCTCTCAAAACTTACGGAGTATGTTTTTCAAAACATTTCAAATTGAACGAACGTAGCTGAATGGGAAAAAAAAATTTGGAATTGGTTATTCATTTATGACAATCTTTAGGGAGCATTTTTAATACTGAGGTAGTTCACAATGAGTTTAATACGGAGTACTCCCTTCGTTCATTTTTAATAAATTGTTTGTTTCCTTTTACGATTTTTGATTGAAATTATTCTCAGTATAATTTAATTGAGTATAGGAGTGGAATTAAAAAAATAAAATTTGCATATTTAAAAATTATATTGTGTTGTGAATAGGATAGTTTATTCATGGTAGATTAGAGTATTTATAAACATAAGTAAAAGGGGTAAACCCTAGGTAAATGAGAAAACAAAATCTTTTAATTAACGGGAGCTGTATGTTTGTCATATTTAGCACTCCTTAGATATATCATCTTTCATCAGATACTATCAACATTATACTGATGGATAATGCTAGTTAGGTTCTTAATTTCAGTATCTATATTAATTGATATCACAAGATCAATTACATTGCCTCGTTAAAAACTCACTAAGAAAATCTAGTGGAACGAAACTTAGTTGAGGGGAAAAGAGTATAACATATGTAGTGTTTTCCTCAAAATAAAATTATACTCCCCCTCAAAACAATGGTTGTCTTTCAATTTATGAAGTCTAATCTTACATGTATCTCAACTCAAGACATTCAAAGGCACTTTCCCTGCTGCGGTTTATATTCCTTATTGGTTCAAGGGCAAAACCTGCTGACCATCTGCCTACTCCAAGAGCTATTCTTGACAAAAGAATATAGAAGGTGCACAACAAAGCTCAGAAACCATACTTGATGCAATGGGAAGGATATAGCCCACACTTGGGAACCACTTGCTCCATTTGGATATATACGGAAGGTTTAAGACAAATTTCCCCATTTCCCTTATCTCTTTTATGTTTCTCTCAAATCTTTGTTCTCTCTGGTTGGTCTTCTTCATTGAGGCGTATCTAAATTCTTTTTAAATTAGATAGCAAGATTCTATTGCTATATCATAAATACTATCGTTGTCCCCAAAAAGATAATCAAACTTTGACTTTTTTGATCAAGGGTCGTTACACTTTAACCATAAATTTCGAAGATGGTATATTTAGCAAATTTGGATTCATTTTAAATTACAGTTTTGATATATTAGACTTTTATAAAATTTAACTATATAATAATATATTTAATTTGTAGTCAAACTGTTACACACGGATTATGATTTCAGTGTCCAGGAGACGGAATCATGGATGGAAGTTAGGATCGACTCGCACCTAGTGCCCAAGATAAACGAGTTTTGGTATCCTGGCTCAGTCGTTCAGGCAAACAACCATGCTTGGAGTACACCAAGAAATGTACTCCAAATTGTATTCTAAAGAGATATACTGGCATTTTAACGGTTCGCACTAACATCAAATGTTAGTGTAATAAAAAAATTTGCACTGACATTTTGTGTCATTATAAACTATTACACTAACATTACACCAGCATAAAATGTTGATGCATGTCTTTGGGTTACAAAGTGGTGTATAATTTTTGGGGTACAAATAGCTCAATTCTTGAGGCAAATGTGTAGTTGGACAAAAAATTGTTAGGTGCCAGGTCACACAAGTAAAACTATATTCATTTGTGTGTGTTTGTCTCTATGTGTTTCAGTGTTTGTGACTTTGTGTGAGTGTGACAATATAAAGATCCACAAGTTAAAAATTAAAACATTGTGATTAAATATTTTTTGTGATGCAACAATAGGAATCATTTTCATCAACAAAAATTTTGAAATAATTCCGAGTCTCATACCTAAGTAATGAAGTTCACAAGATCATAATGCAAAATGCAAACTTTCATGTAATTTCAATTTTTTCAAAGCAAAAAATATTATTTGTAACAAATTTTTTGATAGAATTTTAATGCCAACTTCGAAAGTGCCTATGTGATGAATCACAACTCTGAATTGAATGAAATCAACAACGAATTAAAACTTGACACGATTCTTTATCCTATGTTTGGTTTAAGGAATTTGAAAGAAAAACGAATTTATTGTTTGGTTAGAAACGAAAAGAAAAGAGAAGTGGAAGGAAAAGAAAATGAGAAGACAAAACGTAGTGAATGAAAAACTAAATTCCTCCCATTTTGATAAAGAGAATGACAGAAAATTATTTTCTTTTCATTTCAAAATCTTTGAACCAAACATAGTATTAGTGTCAAATACAAGGATTCCAATAAGAAGAAGCACAACGGACAATTGCCTACGAGGATTCAAATGAGAAGAAGCAAAGCAGAAAAATAAATGGACAATATAGTGGTATAAATGATAAATCAAAGTTATTTTTAACACTTCTAATCAATTCAACCTGAGAACTTAATTTCTAGACAGATAGAGTACTCTTTTCATTTCCCTTTTTTCTGTAATTCCTCGAACAAAACACAGTGAAAAAGGATAGAATACTATTATAAATGTAGATGCATCAATTTTCCCAGGTTCCATATTGATAAAAGTTTCTTTTACCACACTGAATATAGATTCTTTGTGGCGGCAGGGGGGCTTGGTAACATCAACTCTCACAGAGTGGTGGCCTGTCATTCTTGCAATGGCAGGTAGAGAGCCCTCCAATCCTGTAAGTGAATTGGCAGTCCTTCCAAAGAAATCCAAATATAAACTATAGGAGTATCCAACAAGAGCTACCAAAAATTCCTCTTCTTGATCAAAGTTAAATAAAAATAAGCTGATCATCAACAAGTCCAATCCAGAAAGATCCAACAAGAGCATACCCTGAACTTGGCAATGTGTTCTTCAGATTCTGTGAAAGATATGGAGGGCAATCCATTATGTTTCTGAAGTTCTTCCAGAGGGAAATCTCCTCTTGGTGTGCTGGGAAACAACATCCGCGAATAAGCAAATACTTGTTTAGCTTATATGAAGGTTCACCATAGACCTTAGGTCCGTGAAAGATTTTGCATAAAACACTAGTCATCCTCAACGGGCTAGCAGCCTGTCAGCCCATTCTTCTTTGTCTTCCGTTTATGGGTTTGGATCCCTGAAAGGTATCCATAACACAAAGCCATGAAATCTTTTGAGGTCTACGACCACGATGTGTCTCCTCCAGTCCTACTACAAAAATGTTTGGCACAAAGACAACCAAATCACCACAAGCAAATTAAACATGTACAACAACAGTAAAGTATTTTTGCAACCACGTGTACTCATGTCCCATTATAATTGTAACATTTTAACTTGATGATGTTTAAGAATTGTGTTTAAAAGTGAAAAATGGGGGATTGAAATTCATTTAGAGGAAAGAGAAGATTTTTGGAACACATATTCTTTACTTTATTAGGAATGTAAAGAAGTGTGAAGCGTGAAGATTATTTTTGGACAATCCGTAAAAGAAAATGTGAAGATTAATTTAGAATAGAGGGAGTATGTTAGAAGGACTTCTTACCCCTTGATGATCAAAGTAGTTCTAGATCTGTAAGCACTATCAATGGTTATGGAAACAAATCTCTTTGTGCACTCGTAATCCCGAGACTTCTTGTCAAATCTGGAACTGCACATTCCCTTTCTACAAAGAAAAAGTATGACCAACAGGCAGAATGCATGTCATTACTAGTGAAATGAACCATCTACCATTTTAGAATCACCATTACCAGATAATTTTTTTTTAAAAATTACTAGTAATATGTAATGTGAAAGTGTATTAGTAAGCAATCTAGTTACATACTTGAATGTTCCTATAAGGAACAAACAGATCACAGTTTCCATACATCAGGATGTACTCTTTCAAGGCATTTCAAGAAACTGAACATTGTGATCACCAAAATAATCAGGTGATGATGGGTTCCAATAACAATGACCTAGCTGGACCCCAAGAGAGTAGGATTCCAATAATATATCTATTATTGAGTACAGGAGTAGTATCAAATTAAGCATCACAATTAATCAGGTGATGATGGGTTCCAACAATAGATTTTAGCTCTACCAGCTAAATATCGAAACATGCAATGTAACTGAATTCAAATGATCACCAAAGCATTACCACAACAGACAGTTGGGAGGACGAGGTATGGTGTCATATGGAGTAAGTTTCATGCCATCTTCAGAGTCAATGCCATGGGAAAAAACATCTTCCCGTTCACTGATTCACGAGACAAATTAAACAATCACTGTATTAGTGTTTGAGCATTTACAGGGGTAGGGATGTTCAAGGTACAATTTTTCCACATGAAGTATAAATGCTTCATTTACACAAACAAATTAGGAAACAGCACTTACTACTTTGACACAGCCTACTAAACTTGGTTCCTTAGAGCTTTTAATAGCATTCATCTTGCCTTCATGAGAACATAATAAAGAAAATGAAGTTGCAGAAGCCCTGCAGAAAGTCAAAGAAAAATACACTGGCATTGCTGGGACTAAACTTCAGCAATTTAAAAGATGATGGGGGAAATAGTATATTCCCCACTTTGAAAATCAAGAAGCGGGGACAAAAAAACATTACCAGTTACTCAAGTTTCACTTTTCACCTTCGTTTGAAAATGCTACAGACAAATTTTCTCAATCTCAGCCACCCAGTTATGTATTTTGAACATAAAAATCATCACTGATAGTCATACAACCTATTCCCACTACTTTGGTAACAAAGAGAATCTCTGAACCACCAACTTTAAGATGTATTTTGAACATCATATTCACTTTTGATAGCCACACAGCCCCTTTTCAGCATGTCATTCTGCAAGAAAAGTGCTTCATCTGTATTACCAAGTTCACAATATTTTCTTATGAGACACCCATAAATAACAGCATCAGGAAGAATATCTTTCTCAATCATCTCATCAAGCAAACATCTTGCTTCTTCCATTCGACCATTCCTTGAAAGACCCTGGATCAAACAAGAGAAGGCACAAAGGTCAAGGTCAATGCCATTCTCGATCATTTTTTCCTTCAAAGTCAAAGCGTCTTGAACATTTCCCTGTTTCATGTTTCCATCAATCAGAGATGTGTAAACAGCTTTATCTGGAAACAAACCTCTGTCTAGCATTTCATCAAAAAAGGTTTTGGCAGCCTCTAGAAATGTATTTTTACAGAGGCCATCAATAAGTGCCGTGTAAACCATCAGATTGGGTTCCAAACCAATATTTGGCATATTATTGAAATGAACAACTGCTTCCTCGACACACCCCAAACTGCACAAACCGTCAATTACTGCACAATATGTCACAACAGTTGGGGTAATATTTCTTCTCTGCATCTCATCCAGCATATCACGCGCTTCAGTGGATTTTCCAGCCTTAAAGAAAGCATCAATGAGTGTGGTGTATACCACAGAAGTCGCTTCTATTCCTTGCCCCTCCATTTCATCAAAATAATTCTTTGCATCCTCTAACTTTCCTTGGTTGCAAAGTCCCCATACAACAGTTCCATGGAGTAATTCATTCTGGACGATATTCATTTCCTTCATTTGTTCCAAAATATTCATAGCATCGTCTAACCTTTTTGATTTCATATACCCATGCATAAGAGCGGTATAAGACTTTGCATTAGGGGTGATCCCATTTTTTAATAATAATTTAAAAATGTCTTCAGCTTCTCTAAGCCTCCCTTGTTCACAAAGGCCATCTAGTAATGCTGTGTAGGTAACTATGTTCAGCTTCAGTCCCAATTCTAACATCTCTTTTACAAGCTTGAAAGCTTCGTCCATCTTCCCTGCTTTACATTTTGCATCAATCAAAGAAGTATAAGTGAACTCATTGGGAAGCAGACCAACTCTCCTCATGTCGATGAAAAATTTGATAGCCTCTTGCAGCATCCCTTCTTTGCAGAAAGCATCAATAAATGTGCTATAAGTTACAACATTGGGTTTTATACCACTACTCTTCATCTCATTCAAATATCCAAACGCAGAGTCCATTTCTTTATGTTTACATAAGCAATTAATTAATGTATTATATGTTACTGCACATGGAGAACATCCAGCTTCCTTCATTTCCTCATATATGGAAGTCATTTCCTGAAGCTCCCCTAGCTTGCCAGTTCCATCAATAAGAGAATTATACGTAACTATATCGGGATTAACCCTGCCCTCTTTCATCTGTGCAAATAATTTTCTCGCAGCATCCAAGTCCCCTTCTTTACACAAATAACCAATCATTATATTATATGTGTACACGTTAGGTGAAGGTCCAGAAGCAATCATATCTTCAAAACATTTCCAGGAGAAGTCTAGATTTCCAGCCTTTACAAGTCTATCCAAAAGATAATTGCAAGATCGTGTTTTTGGAAGCACGTTAAAACTTCTCAGCCTCAAAAAGCACCCATATGCATCATCTAGAAATCCCAGGTCAACTAAAACACTGAAAAACGAATCAAAAACCCCAAAACCTGGAATGCAGACATTCCTAGTTGACCACAAGACATCCAGAATTTCTGAACAAGGTACCACTGCCTTATCTCCAATGTTCAGACTAATCAATTCTTTCAGAACATTTCTAGCATCATTGTACATTCTTGAGCAGAACAAAATGTGAGCAACCAGACAGTAACTCTCTGTGGCATGACCAACCGAAATCCTGGTCTTTGCCCGATCAAACAAGTTAAGAGCTAACCTAGGTTCATGTTTCAACTCCACCAGGATTCTGGAGACCCAAATGGGAGCTAAATCAGAGCTAAAAAGTCTCGATAGTCTAAAATCATCCCACCTACCTTCACGCACCAGTTCCGTAATCATTTGGGCATCAAAGAAAACTCCACCAGAAGTACTGAATTTGACATTTCTGGACAGCGGGCAATGGGAGACGCATTTCAAATCATTAGCGAACATCAACAAATTGTGTGAAATTAGCCTTAAACGAAGAGTACTGCTTCTGCGACTGATGCGCAATAATCTATTGAAAAAAAGACCAAACATGGTCTGAGCAGCTGCGCTGAAGCAATAGTTCGCAAAACTAATGGCTTTATCAACACGTTCAATTCACAAGCCAGCTATGAGCATTCATACTGCTGATGGTGGAGCCGTGGAGGTGAAGGTCGGACAGAATAACAATACCGAAGCTCTAGGGTTTAAGATTGTGAGGGTATGTTTGGTTGGAGACTTAGGTGAGTGCGATTATGGTACATGTACCTAGTAGACTAAAATAAAGTAGTACTCATTCTCAGATATATATAAACGTGCATTTTAAATACGTAATACTAATTCTGAAATAAAATAGTACTCGTTTTAAAATAATGTAGTACTCATTTTCATACATTTGTTTAGTACTCATTTACGAATAACATAGTATTCATTATGAAATAAAACGATACTCATTCTCTAATAAGATAGTATTGCTTACTCTTTATTTTCTTCAAATTTGACAAAAAAATATAATCCCCATCTTCACCACCGCACCACCATGGCCTGCTGATCTCGCTAGAGTTCTGCAAAGTGCAAACATGCTCCCCACGCATCACCTTCATCCCACACCCTCCACGCAGCCGTCACCAACCGATCGCGACTCCTCCACGCAGCCTCCACCAACCGATCGCGGCCTCCTCCACGCAGCCTCCATGGCATTCAACTTTTATTGCCACTGCATCGGCCGGTCCCTTCTTCGTTAGTGCACCTTCCCTTCCGTCGATATAATTACCGGTTGTACCAAAAAAACGGTACAGCCGGATGTACCTTATAATTTGCGGTTGGAGGTAGGATAAGTTTTATTAGGTAAGTAATAGTCGAAAATTATATCATACATCCAGATGTACCTTGCTCTAGGTACAGTCTGATATTTTTGTAATTTTTGTAACTGTTCCGTCTCTTTCTCTTGTTCTCTTCCGCTCTTCTCTTTCCCCTTTTTCTTCATCGACTTGCCTTCCTCTTCTTCTTCTGCCTCTTTCTTCATCCTCTTATACGTCTTTCTTCACACATCTCCCGCAGCTTTTCCTTTATCTTTCGTCGCTCTCTCCATTCTCTTCCAATCATAATATACATCGGAAATTAGATTTGAAAGTTCATAATCTGCATACTTTTCATCTTAAATTTATAATCTGCATACTTTTCATCTTAAATTTATTGAGGAGATATACTTTAATGGAACCAGATATTCATCTTCTTGGTAATTCTAAGCTTCGATTCCTTCAATTTGAATCTCCAGGTGATACTATTCTGTGCACTTTTTTGGGTATTAATTAACAAAATTAGCAGTGTTCTTCATACTAGATTTAGCAGTGTTCAGCAGAATTTTTTTCACAATTCTAATTTTAATTCACATCTTTCATTTTTCAGATTTTAATTTATATAAAGGACAATTAATAGAAGCAATTGCGAATTGTGAAGAAATTGTAAACTTCTCATCCCCAACCCCTTATGGTAATTTTTTCTAAATTTTTGTATATTATTTTCTACTTTGTAAATGCATTCACTATTGTTGTACTTGAAACATATTCCCTCTATTCTTATTTGATAATTTTTTAATTTTTTAGCTCCAAATAATGTAGCCAATTTTCAACATACATCTCTGGTGTTATCTAATGATGACTTGATAGATTCTCCCATTCTTGTTCAAGAGGCAGAAACATCAGAATTAATTGGCAAAAAAGTAAATTTAGAGAAAGAGGCATCTGATGTTTATAATGAATATGAATTTAGGATTGGAGTTGGTATTCGTTATTCAACTTTAAGGAAAGGTCACAATGGTTTGAGTATCAGGGGGATAGAGTTTTATTATAATAGAGAAGGTAAAAAAAGATCAAAGGTGTTGTTGGTAAAAAATTCACCAAAGATGATCGAAGGGTAATGGTGAATGGGTTGTAGTCAGATATTTGATGGAACACAACCATTCATTTTGCCCTTCTTCATTGGTTCACCATGTAAGATCATATAGAGATCTTTCTCAAGGCCAGCTATCATATCTTAATCTTTTAAAACAACAAGGCGTTAAAGTTGCTGATGCATTTCGTTGTTTGAGGACAGAAGCTGGGGGGTCACCTGTGGTTGGTTTTGCATTGAGAGATGTTTATAACAATTTGGAAAAAGAGGCTAAAAGGTGCTTTGATGGTACAAATGCTAATACTCTAGTTAAGTATTTTAGGCAACGACAAAGAAATGAGGAAGATTTCTTCTTTGCTTTTGAGCTTGATTTTGAAGGTTCATTGGTTAGTTTTTTTGGAGGGACAAGCAAATGAAGGAAGATTATTGTTTATTTGGTGACTTGATTGGGGTTAACACCACACTCATAATTGTATGTTTGGTTGTGGGTTTTTATTGAATGAAAGAATTGAATCTTTTGAATGGTTTTTTCACACTTTTCTAGAAGCAATGGATGGGTTGCATCCTAAGACTATTATGACTGACCAGTCTTTTGTAATGTCATGTAACGCCCTGAAACCCCGTCTATCAGAATTAATTAATTAATTACTGAGACGGACTTGATGGAAATTATAAATATTCTTCGTTTGACAATAAGGTTTATACCGTTGTGTAGGGTTCGACGGATCGAATCTAACTGTGAAATCGGATTTGGATTTGGAGCCCATGGGCCCAAAAAGTGCATTTGGGCCAGGTACGTTCAGTTAATACGGAGCCCAAAACCCCAAAATGTATAAATATATACTCCTTGCACGTCCAAAACCCTCACGCCACCATAATATTTACGTAACTCCCTCTTCCTACTCTCTCGTCTCTCTCTCGACCGAAGCACAGCAGCGGCGCACAGGAGGGAAAGAAGAAGAAGGAGAAAAGGAAAAGGAAGAAAAAGGAAGAAGAAGGAAAGAGGAAGAGTTCGACGTTGTCGTTCGTTGGTATTATCTTGTAGCTTTTAATCGTCGAGTTTGAGGTGAGTACGTGGACATCTAACGTACGGTTATTGTAACGACCCAAAAATCGGCTTAGTAGTTAGCAGCGATTTTAATAAAAATAAGTATAATATTTATTTACTCTAAAATATGAATTATTTGTAAAGTTATCCGTTTTAAATGGAAATTGGGTTTTCGAATAGATCTCGTAAAATGGTGATCAACGGTATATAATTTGTTAAATTTGGACATACGTGTAAAGCGTGGTGAGTAAAATAGATATTACCGTTCAATAAATAAATATAAAGATTTTATAATATAATATTATAAAATACTCCGTAAATAATTACCTAAACCTACCCACCCACGCCCAAATATTTATATACGCATATATACACGCAAAAAGCCCTACGGTTTGATTAGTGGAAGAATACGCCACTGTTCGCAGGCATCTTCCTCTTCAATCCGATTTGATTAGTTTAATTCTCCAATTAATCGAGGTCAGAACTTGCACATCTAACGCTAGATTATGTATATAGATTTGAAATTCACGTTCGTAGTTTCGTATGATTGATTACATGGTTTATTTGTTTATAATTGAATTGTGATTTATTTATATCTTATGATAATATTGGAATTGATTGAACGAGAATGACCAGGTATGTATTCTTACTCTAAATTGTGTGGTTTGCATGATTATAATCTTTAAAAACGTTATATGTATCAAACGATTTGGAATAGGATAGAAATCTGCTGAATCTGTACACTCCCGATGTCGGACGGTAGCCTGGTACTGTCCAAACGGTACCCAGCTACCGCCTCAGGCTCGTTGCTGATGCCGGTACATATGTGAGACGGTCGGACGGTACTGTATTGACGGTACCCAGGTACTGCCTAGCGGTACCGAGGTACCGTGACGGGTACCGTACCGGCAGCTGCAAATCTTCGTTGTTTGACTGTTTGACCCAATTTGGAACTCGAATTGACTCTGAGCCCTTATGTGTTACATGACGGTAAATGGAAGGTGTTTACACTTGACATTAGGCCGCTATATGGATTGCATGATGATTTATTTAGCTACTTCTACCCTCTTGATATATTGTAAATGTGTTGTGATATGCCTCAAACGGATAAAGTAAATTGAAGTTGTTGTTAGCTTGGATCTGAATAATTAAAGTAAGTTAGTGATGTAGGTTACCTGGATGAACTCGAGGACTATTTTGTGAGAATTGAGATTGTAAGGTGACAATAGGTTGTAGAGCCTTGTGGACTTAGTCCAGTGGCATTCGGGTAAAGGTGTACGTACATGGAATCTGAGATCTGATCCGTAGGATTGGAGGTTCCACCCAACCGGCGCCGTAGGTACCGGGTTGACCGGAATCATGGCCGTAGGTAGTGGTTCTGATGTCATAGATAGACTTTGAGTCATGGCCGTAGGTAGTGGCTCTAAGTCCTAAGATAAGAATGTGGATAATGAGGAATTGGCCTTAGCCTAGAATAGGTTATGAGCTAGTATTGGATATGAGTTAATGTAATGACTTGATTGTTGTGATAATGACATGTGCAGGTGAAGAACTAAAGTAAGTAACATATTGTGTGAATTGTTGATATTGTTGATATTAATAATGTTGTACTTGTGTGCATGATATTGTATGAAGTTATGAGCTAGTACGTGGATTCGTCTATGTGCGTAGTCGAAACGTTAGATAGTTCTCACTTAGCTTCAATGCTGAGCGTGTAGCCCTTTTTCCTATTTGCTACACGTAGGTAATGTGAATGATGAATAAGGAACTATCTGGAGGCAGCGAGGGCGAAGAGGTGGATGGATGCTAGCTGGAGGAGTTTACTATTTAATACTTAAGTTTGAATTGTTTATGTTTTAAGGGCAAGAACCCAAAGTTGTATTTTGATTAAGTACTTAAAGGCTTCCGCACCGTTTTGATTTACTCCGGTGAATATTTAAATAATGTTTTGAATTAAATGTTTTAAATTGTTTTGAAAAATTATTGCGTCTGAATGCCAATCTAGTAGCAACCCGATCCGTTGGTCCTTGTATTCGGGTCACGCGGGTTGGGGTGTTACAATTATAGTCATAGGTTTGAATCTTACGTTCGTAGAATCGTTATGGTTGATATATTTGGACTATACTTGAACTATGCCTTGTTTATGTCGTTTACGGTTTGAAAAGCATGAATTGGTTTGAATTGTTAGAAATTGTTAGGCAATGTTGGATTGATGAATTAGGACCTGTTTAAGCTT